TATGTCTTACTTCACATATTGTTGTCGCTATTTTTTTTTTGTACTCTCAAAAGCATTGGATGTTTAATCCCAACTATTTTGTTTGGAAATAACTTCATAAATAATTTTTTCCTAGTCTCTTTGTACATGGGTATGAGGAAGGAACTAGTCTTTACTCAGAGATCATGTGAAGAAAGAAAATAAAAGATGAGAATATAATAAACCATGCATGCTTATTCCATTTTGTTAATAAAAGCAAAATAGGAAAGACTAAAGTGATTTGCCTTTGCATTTAGAACCTCCTCCCATCTCTTTTCCTCCCTTTCTCCCTGTGTATATGGTGTATGTCAGCCCACACACTGTGATGTGGGGGGGTCAGGTCCCTCCTTCTACTGTATGGATTCTGAGGGTCTTAACTATCAGGCTTGGTGGCAAGTGCCTTTACCTACTGAGCAATCTCATTGGCCCTGCATTTAGAATTTCCTTATCAAAAATTTCACTGTTAATTACTTTGCTAAGGAAAGGGTCAAACAATTACAGATCTAAGTTTCACTTTCCAGGATTTCCTTCAAATAAGTGATAATAAAGTCTTACCTTTAGATATAAGATTCTGTCATAGAGTAGTTTGTTGATGGCCAAACTGGTGTAAATGTGGAAATAGGATGAAAGAAGGGAGAGGCATGCAAGTAAAAATGGAATACATTTGTAATGATCTCACCTTCCTGTCTCATTACCTTGTTGTGAGATACTTCTTTGGTTAAAAGAAAGTAAATGCCAATTTAGATAGAAATGTAGATTAATTTCTTACTTTTTAAAGCAAAAATTGACAAATAAGGTGAAAGATTGTGATTCTGGTAGTAAATAATCCTGAGCTTAACCAGCTGCACAACTTGCTCTGCATCAGCCATAGTAAATGCTGATAGGGAGGGCATAAAGAAAAGGTCATGATTATAAAAGTAGAACATTTATCTCTTATGAGATATTAATATAAGATTTAATCATGTACCTATTGCATATTTTAAACATGAGTCTCATTCCAATTTTACAGGAAAAGAATAATTTAGAGATAGATTTAAACTACAAGCTCAAATCATTACAACAGCGGTTAGAACAAGAGACAAATGAACACAAAGTAACCAAAGCTCGTTTAACTGACAAACATCAGTCTATTGAAGAGGCAAAGTCTGTTGCCATGTGTGGTAAGTGTTAGCTGTTTGAATATTTTCCATGATTGACTTTTTATTTTGTTGTTGTTTTTCTTTTAAATGAATGTTGTTCTTCTTGTGTTTTAATCTTTTTATTCTTTTTTTTCTATTTTTTAAATATATTCTTATTTTACGTGTATGAGTGTTATGCTTGTATGTGTTTAAGTGCACCTGTGTCATGCAGTACCTGCAGAAAACAGAAGAGGGTGTCAGATCCCCTGGAACTGGAGTTATGGACAGTTGTTAGCTGCCATGTGGGTGCTGGGATTCAAACCCAGGTGTTCTGCAAAAACAGCCAGTGCTCTTAACTGCTGAGCAATCTCTCCAGCCCCCTCTGATAAATTCTTAAAGAATCTTACACAAGCCGGGTGTGGTGGTGCAAACCTTCCATCTCAGCACTCCGGAGGCAGTGGCAGGCAATCTCTGTGAGTTCAAGACCAGGCTGGTCTGCATAGTGAGTTCCAGGCCAGCTGGGGCTACAGGAAGATCCTGTCTCAAAAAGACCAAATTAAAAAAAAGAATTTTGTGCAGTGTATTTCAACTGTATTCAACCCTATTTCCTCAGATAATAATCTGGGGTGTGGGCCCATTCCCTGGAACATGATCAACCTACTAGGGGTTACACCCTTAAAGAAAATGGACTCTCCATCTCCCAGCAGCTATCTCAACTAGGGATGGGGCTTCGTGTCCACCTTCTGCATCCATGCTGGAGTTTTTGTTTGACAGGAGCGTGCACAGGTCTGTGTATGCTGTCACAACTGCTGTGAGTGCCTATGTGCAACTGCCTATTATATGTGGAAAACACTTGTCATGGTCGTCCATCACCTCTGGCTCTTACAATCTCCCCCACCATACACTTTCTGAGGTGATCCGTGAGCCTTTGGAGAGAAGAAGGGTGTGGTATAGATGTCCCGTTTAGGGCTGAGCACTCCAATCTCTTATTCTCTGCATGTTGACCAGTTGTGGGTTTCTTTTATTTTTATTTTTTGTGTATGCATGTATTGCCTGCATGTAGGTAAGTGCACTTTTGTCATGCAATGCCCGCGGGGGACACAAGAGGCCATCAGATCCCCTGGAACTGGAGTTACAGACAGTTGTTAGCTGACATGTGGGTGCTGGGATTCAAATCCAGGTCTTCTGCAACCAATGTTCTTAACCACTGAGCCATCTCTCCAGCCCCAGTTGTGGGTTTCTTTTAATCATCATCTGCTGTAGAAAGAAGATTCTCTAATGAGGGTTGAGAAATGCACTAATCTATGGGTTTAATAATAGGTCAGTCTAATACTATGCCCATTTATCAGATAATGCCAGTAGGAATCTCCCCTAGGGTCTGTGATCTTATCTAGCCACAGGATCTTTCCTTTTTCAGTCAGAATTTTACTTCCTGATTTCCTTATTTAACCTACCATCTCTTCACTATAAAAGTTAATGAAATTAAACTAGACGTGGTTATGTCCACCTGGAGTCTTAGCACTGAGGAAGCTAAGACAGGACAATTGTGAGTCTAGGCTCTAGTTGGACTACATAAAGAGACTTGTCTGAGACAAAAGAAAAAGTGAACTCTCCTTTCTTGTTTTTCAGTCTTAATTTTCTTCATGATCCATTTTGGACCTCATTCTTAATAATTTGTCTGCTCTTTTGTCTTGTCTTTTTTCATTCTTTGGTATTTCCACTGCTTCATGCCTCCAACACAATAATCCTAGTTCAGACCAACCAGTTGCCTTATTTTATTTTACTTCAAATAAGTAAAGATCAGTTGATCTAGATATGTGTTAGTCCATTGTATGATCTCCAACTACAGTTGTAATATATGTTCTTAAAAGATTACAGTTGTTATCCGTAGAATGCTTTGAAAAGGTGTAACAGTGAGTATAAGGTGGTCAAAAAGTTACAGTGAGCAGTTACATCTGCTCACTGATGGCAGCAGAAAGACTGGAAGGAAGCACAGGGACAAGAATTGTAATAGATTAGGTGGAAAGAAGGAATCAAGAAAGACTGGGGTGTTTAGTTTGAACAGCTGAATGAATGGCTATAGTCCATATGGAGATTGATATAAGTACAGTACAAGTAATTTGGGGCTAGGAGAGAAGCATTTATTCAGATATGTTAAATTTTGTTGCTAGGGATGTAGCTCTGGCAGAACACATACTTATTCTACTTAAGGTCCTGAGTTCAAACCTCAGTACACCCCCTAAAGTATGATAATTTTGAAGATTTTATTAGATATCTAGACAGATGTACTAAAACACTCAATTGGTATATTAGTCTGGAGCTTGAGGGACGATAGGTATCTAGAGTCAAAGCATTACGCGAATAGATTTGTGTTAATTAGAGAAGGGAATTAGGAGGTGGTGGTTATGTTAGTACAGCTATGTTTGTAAGGTTGAGGAAAAGGTGAAGTTGCATTTTAATGGTTTGTCACCTAGAGTGCAGTCTTTGAGAGTAAGAAGGCAAACTTATTAGTTATACAACTACTTACCATATATCAAAGGGGGGGGCAAACTTATTAGTTATACAACTACTTACCATATATCAAAGGGGGGGGCACCATAGTAAAGACTCAGATCTTCTGATAATTGAAACAGGTGTTAGATCTTGTTCTTCAGAGTTACATAAATTAGAGTTCCTGCCTGCAAAAGACTGCCTCTTGAAACTTTTCCAGACCAATGCAAGATAATAACAGCAGCCATATTTTCCTACTCTTCACCTTCATTTTATTCCTTTATTATTCTACTAACTATACTCTTGATCTTCTGGTTTAAAAACAGTTCTGAATAATCTCTTCTGTCGTTGGGCAAGAGCTAGTGGATTTAGAAGTATTTTATTCCTTATTACATTTTATAACTTTTTCTTCAGAGATTCTCTTGTTTTGGTTGTGAGCCTGAGCCTTTTAATGGTTGTGTCAGCTCTCCAGCCTCAGAAATTCTCATTTTAATAATTCAAATGGCTTTAGAACTATTAAAATTGGTATCTATTACAGTCCCAGGATAAAAACAGTGGACACTTTTAAAACCAATTTCCAGAACGTATAAAGGGGAAAATATTAAAGTACTCTTTAAATGTATATTTAACTTTTTTCTGTCACAGAGATGGAAAAAAAGCTGAAGGAAGAGAGAGCAGCTCGAGAGAAGGCTGAGGACAGAGTTGTTCAGATCGAGAAACAGTGTTCTATGCTAGATGTTGATCTGAAACAGTCTCAGCAGAAGCTAGAACATTTGACTGAAAATAAAGAAAGGATGGAGGACGAAGTAAGAAATGCAGTACCTGTTTTGTTCATCTTTAAAAGAGAAGCTATCATAAGTTATGATTGACCTATCATCTGTAATTTAAACATTATTGAGAAAATTTGCATGAATAACCCATATGTATGTATCTATATTTGCTCCTATGTAATCATCCCAGCACTTAGAATTTTCATTTCAAATAGTGAACATTTACCCCATAGGATATGTTCCATTGTGCATCGTAGCATTACTTAAAACTGTATCAAAATGACTTAGTCTTCCTAGAAGAAAATGTCTGCTAAAAAACAAGCTGTTCAAAGATATCCTGAACTACCAGAAAAATACTGCTCTTGGATTTTAAAAAAGTTGAAGTACATCGTAAAGTGGCTTACATTGATAGAAGACACAAAATACATATTTCTAATGCTGTTAGTAAAAAAGATAAAAGTAGATGAATTAGTGCCTGGCATGGTAGCACATGCCTTTGATTCCAGCACTTGGGAGGCAGAGGCAGGCCGATCTCTGTGAGTTCAAGGCCAGCCTGGTCTACATTGTGAGTTCCAGACCAGCTGGGGCTACAGGGAGACCTTGTTTCAAAAAGACTGGAAAAAAAAATAAATAAATTGGTAGTTACTATATTTAACTTTAAAAATATTTGTAGACAGGAAAGCTTTTCCACAGCATGACTAGGTAATTGCTATTCTTTAAAACTTATTAGAGAAGCTGTAGTTGTATATAAAAACATTCCTTTAATAAAATTAATCTAATATTGATACATAAAATTGAGTAAAAACAATTAAAAATATTTGTTAGAGCTAGCAAGCAAGAGAAATGTATATTGAAAATTTGGAAGATAGTTATAACCCAGGTGTGGCAGTGCATGCCTTTAATCCCAGGCAGAGGCAGGTGAATCTCTGTGAGTTCAAGGCCAGCCTGGTCTACATAATGAGTTCCAGGCCGGCTAGGGCTACAGGGAGACCCTGTCTAAAAAAGATCAGGAAAAAAAAAAAAAGAAGAAAAGAAAAGAAAGTTATTTTCTAAATAACTTGGGGACCATACAGCCCAGAAAGGCCAATAGTAATTACAAGCATGACAAAATTTGTATAACTACATGGATGTGAAGGAAAACCTTACTAAGGTTGTGACATTATTTGATGATCTTTATAGTGATCCCATTGTGAAAATGTGGTGGAGAAGCAGACAGAATAAATCATCAACACAATGTAGTCTTTCTAAGAATTTTTAGTTCATTGGTTCCAACACTAATAAATACTTAATAAATATTTATTAAATTAGCTTTAATTTCTAAGTTTTACAAAGGAATAAAATAGAGTACAGCAATATTTGTTGATTAAACAGGTAAATTTACCCATTTGAAATGTCCCTTCAAGTCACTTTTATAATTATTTTCCAAAATCTTCAGACTAGTTAAAAATGAAGATTTTTCTTTTTTTCCATAAGATCTTGTATCTAAAATTTAGACACTAATTTGTAGCAAATATGCAATAACAGACACAAAGAAGAATTAGAATAGTAAGTAGCATTCTAGCATTAATAGTGTGAAGGATTATAATGTTCCTGAGATTTGATTAGTATTCTTTCAGATGTCTAATGAACTCCTAAAGTGTTTTATGATGCTTTTTTTTTTTTTTTTTTTTTTTCCTTATTCATAGGTTAAGAATCTAACCCTACTGCTGGAGCAAGAATCAAATAAACGACTGTTGTTACAGAATGAATTGAAGACTCAAGCATTTGAGGCAGACAATTTAAAAGGTTTAGAAAAGCAGATGAAACAGGAAATAAATACTTTGTTGGAAGCAAAGAGATTGTTAGAATTTGAATTAGCCCAGCTTACAAAGTAAGTCTTAACTACCATTGTGATTTTTATTTTTTGTTTCTCATTAGCTTCTGTGCTTCATATTTGTGTATTCAGATTGTCCGCTTAAAATTTGTGACATAAAAGTATTTATTAGGTACTAGAAAGATGGGTCAGCGGTTAAGAGCTGACTGCTCTTGCAGAGGACCTGGGTTCAGTTCCCAGCACCCACATGGTGGCTATGAACCTTCCTTAACTCCAGTTTCAGGGGAATCCGAAGCTCTCATCTGACCTCCACGGCATTGCACGAGACGGGTGCACTCACATACATGCAGGCAATACACTCATACACAAAAAATAAAAATAATAAATAAAATAGTTTTTTAAAATGTATTTATGATAAAGGAACTATTTGGAAAGAGGATTTGCATGAGGGTTCAGGCTTTGGAAGGATAGGCTTATTAAATCGAAAATACAAGTATTTAAAAGGAGAAAAAATAGATAACCAATGCTGCTGTCTTCATAGCAAGTCTGTTTATGATAGAAATACCAGTTTTTTCTATTTTGATTTTCATATCTATCAATGTTATTATCTCTTTAGACCAGAATTACAAAAGTGAAGGCTAAATATTTTTAAGGTTGCCCTACTGACAGGAAATGTTCAAGATTTCTTTATTTTGGAGACTAGAATTAGACACAGTCCTTGAGGGGGTAAGAGGGAGGTTATTTTGTTTCTTTATTTCATGTCAGAGAGCAGTCTTTTATTGTTCGATTACTCCTGAGATGTCATATGCCTACTTACTTAATATGGAGGCAAAACCAAGGTGTCATTGTTTTCAGAATTTTATGAGCGTGCTTTAAAATTTTAATATGAAAGATAGGTATACCTTATACTAAGCTAGGTTTTTTTGTTTCCTCCAAATTTATTTTATATCTTTACTTGTCAGTTTCATTTGTAAAGCACTATTTCTTGGATAAAATTGTCAGTTTTTATTAAGTTGAATTTATATTTGCAGAATTCTTTTTTCCTTTAGAACTCAGGTTCACCAATTGACATATATGATACTTCTCCCCAAGCAACTCTCAGCATCCAGTAAATGTTTATAATGTAGTTCTATCAACTAAATGACCTGTTAGATACGAAAATACAAAATGTTTCCTGTCTAATGTTAAAGCCTAGAAGTCTCACATAAAATTATTAAGTCTCAAAAATCTTGAGTTAGTGGGGCGTGGTGGCTCATGCCTTTAATCGTAGCATTTGGGAGGCAGAGGCAGGCAAGGCCAGCCTGGTCTACACAGAGAGTTATAGGACAGCTGGGGATACAGGGAGACCCTGTCTCAAAAAGACCCCCCTAAAAAAAAATCTTGAGTCTTCAAGTTCCATGTGTGGTTGAGTCTGTTCTCCCACCTCTGTCTTTTCCATGTGAGTGTAGATGTGTATGTCATATGTGTGTATTTTTGTCTCTTTGTGTTCTTCTTTACCAGTTTATTGCCCTTGGCTTTCCTTTCATATTCCTTATATAATTTCTCATTTGCACACCCCTTCCTGTGTCTGCCAAAATATGTAAAATGAATTTTTACTTAAGTAATTTATGACCTCTTTTAATAGTTTGCAGCATAAGACATTTAATTGTATTTCTGTGACTGCCCTTTTCTACAAACACTTAACCAAAAAAGGAAAAAAAATTTCGCTTTCAATTTCATTTTTATGGTTTGGAGAGATCCACAGTTAATATGCTCCTGAAAGTGACCTTCATTAGGAAAGAGTTTCCTCAGCCAAGATGGGGCCAGTGTGGCCTGATGAAATTAACAAGTAAAGTAATATTATAATGAAGTTTATACATATATTTTTTAAATGTTATTTTATTAAACTTTTTGTATTTTAGGAACTTAAACTAAGAATAATAGAAAATCTGTTATAAATATGATCATTTGTTTACTGTTTTCCTTTTATTGAAAGGCAATATAGAGGAAATGAAGGGCAGATGCGGGAATTACAAGACCAACTAGAAGCTGAACAGTATTTCTCAGTAAGTGAGAATTATTTTTAATACAGACTCTTAAAAAAGACTCACTTAAGATATTTAGAAGTCTTTTCTGTAAATTGTAATTCTTTTCATGGTTCAGGATTTATTAAATTGTAGAAAAAAATAACGCTTTTTTTACAAGCATTTTGGGAATTGCCATCCAATTCTAGCTATAATAAGACTTTGTTACTAGGTATGGAAACATGCCTATGGTTTCAGCACTTGGGAGACTAAGACAGGATCATCCTAAATTCAAGTCAGCCTGGGCTACATAGGGAGGTCCAGGCCAGTCTAAGCAATACACCTTTCCAAAGAATTTTAAAAGATTTTGTGGTACACGCCTGTAAGTCCCAGCACTTGGGAGGCAGAGGCAGGCGGATCTCTGAGTTCAAGGCCAGCCTGGTCTACATAGTGAGTTCCAGGACAGCTGGAGCTACAGGGAAACCCTGTCTCAAAAAGACCGAAAAAAAAAAAATTCTGCTTCCCTATTATCACTGATTTGTATGTATTGTTTATGAATACACTTTAAAGTGGCCTTGGAGTTTTAGGTATTATAATATTTAAGAGCTTTTTCCTGTTTCAGGGTTGTCTTTACTTTTATATAAATTTGTTTGTCTTTGAGGTTTTATTAAAGCCTCTCAGTTTGGTAGGGAGGGTCCCTTGTTTGCAAAGCTTATTTTCTGCCATTTGATTTCAACTTAACATACATCAAGTTGTGACTAAATAGTACCCAGGTCCCGTAAGCCATATTCAGTGTAATTAAATGCACGGGTTACTTATTCTAGATTGTAAGATAATAATTTTTTTTAAACTGCTGGATTATGTTTGATTCACCCATAAACACTTAATTTTTATCATTTGTTTTGCAGACACTTTATAAAACCCAGGTAAAGGAACTTAAAGAAGAAATTGAAGAAAAAAACAGAGAAAATTTAAGGAAAATACAGGAACTTCAGAGTGAAAAGTATGTCCTTTTTACTTGACATCAGAACAAAAATCATTACTGCAACAAGGCATTCTTAACTAATGGAAAATTAAAGATAATGAATGGAGACTGGAGAGGATGGCTCAGTGGTTAAGAGCACTGACTGTTCTTGCAGGGGACCCAGGTTAGATTCCCAGACCCACATGGCGGGTACAAACCATCCTTAACTCCAGTTCCACGGGAATCCAAAGCCCTCTTCTGACCTCTGCGGCATTGCACGACACAGGTGCACTCACATACATTCAGGCAATACACTCATACACATAAAATAAAAATAATAAAATACATATATTTTCTTAGGAGAAGCATTTTATTGCAGCTTTAACATACTCAGCAACAGTTTTCAGAGCAAAGATACATCTCTTCAAAAGTGGCTATAAAATCTTTAGGTTCATGCTTGAATTAATACGGTTATACAATATTGAACTCAGTATAAGCCCTGTAAGACATAAAATTGAATGAGTTTTTAACCTTTAAAAAAGATCTCCATTTCATTTTAAAATATACTGTTTCTCACAGAAAGAGTCACTGTTTTTTCTAATAACACTAAGATGTTGGCACACGCATCTCTAATCTGTATGTATCTGATTAGTAATAGTCATAATCCGTTGCACTCGGATCCTTGGCACCTGTGTATGTCTATGAAGTCAATGGGTAGATTTCAGTGGTAATGTTTATCACCTCTACTAATTAACATGACATAACTTTTTATGCTTCCTCCCCAAATATAATTCATTTTTTAAAATTTGATTTTGTGGTGTGTGTGTGTGTGTGTGTGTGTGTGTGTGTGTCTATGTATCAGAACATCCTAAACCATCTTAATCAACTGTATACCCACTTCCCATATGGCACCCTCCCATAGCCTCCCTCCCCCCACTAGAGCCTTATACTCTGCTATTGTCTACTGTGTTGTTGGCACCCCCAGCCATTCCCCACTGGTGAATCTAGTCAGCCAATCTAAAGGTCTTTGTTTTAGGAGGGTCAGCTGTTCCTCATCTAGCAGCAATGAGTTGTCAGTATTCCTTCTGATAAGATTGAGGTCTGCTGTTCATTTTCCCAGTTCTATGCTGGGTTACTATCTGGGAGTCCCTTTGGCCACCCTGGCCAACAGCTCAAAAGAAGGTATCTCCTATCTGACACTGTTGCTTGTTATGTAGCCTTTAGCTATACCTGTGGACTCTTAAAAAATTATATTGGCCCCTTTAATCTTTGTTTAGACTTTCCTTTTGGGTGTTTAAGGCCATACAGTTGGCCCAGATAAACCAATTTATTTTTACTCTTAAGGCCGTTTGAGAATCTGTTCCTCAGGTGTCACATGGACTTGGAAGGAGCCCCTGGCTCCTTTCTTTTGCCAGTTCCGCCTATGGGAAGATAAGTGAAAGGTCCTGCTCGACCATGGTTGGCTTCGCTTGGAAGCAAGAAGGAAATGATTCTACTGTGTTGACCCTCCTCTTTGTAGACTAGACACTGGTTCACGTCCATCTGGTGGGGTCTCCTCAGCCTCCTTGATCAAAAGGACAGGTGACCCACCACCATTATAGAACATTTTGTGAGATACTCATAGTCCCCTGGAACTAGTCGACCTAGGAGGGCAAGGAGCAAAAACTATCCTTTATGTCCCTCTGACCAAATTATTATAGGCCTCAAAGTATGTCTGTAAAACATCGAAGAAGATTAGTTCTACCAGTCTGGTACTTTTAATTACTGTGTGCCATGTAGATAAATCTTGGGCAAAGACCAGTTGTTCTCAGATGAACCTTGCCTAGCCATATATTTCTTGATCTGGAATGTATAATTTCTAGGTAGGTTGTTGGAGTAATAAGGTTCCCTCTGGTTTTGAAAACTAGCTAGGCATTATTTATCTCTCTCATTGTCTAACCCCTCCATCGTGGTTTCCCCAATTAAGGTGCCCCCGTTTTTCCCTTTTCTCCCTTAATAATACCCTTCTCCTATGGTCCTACCTATATTGAGCTCCTTCTTTCCCTTTATTCTCATTCCTTGTATACCCTTCCCTCCCCCCTTCCTTAAACTAACCCAATTTTTATCCATATCTCCCTTATTAAGGCCTGTTTCCTACTGTTTATCTCTTT